CTCACCTATAACAAAACCAAAATAGAACACAGATAAAGCAGCCCAGATGAATAATCTCCAAATGAATAATCCAGTGTGATCTCAACAGATGCTGAATTGATGTTCAGCCCATAAAGTTCTGTACGTATCTCCCACCCACCATCTCTGAGGGGAGAATGCAGTCCTAGGCAACTGGGAAGATCACATCTGCATGGCACATTCAACATTCCATCAAAATCCATGGCACACATTCCATGGCCGGATCTGGGAGGATGCTTCTTTAGCCATTATCCCCTCTATGGTCATCCTTTCACTCTCTCTGTATTCATAAATAGTTATCTGTGTCATATCTCAAATGACATTAAGATGATGTCCAAGAAGATATTAGTTTTTGTTACCTCAGGCAGTGGAAGGATAAGAACGCAGTCACTCTCCAAAGCGAGTAAATACCTTGATTGATCATTGAAACCCTAGGTTAAAACTGGTTGCAACAGTTCCTTTTCTGCTCTCATTTCATAAGACAATACTGACTTAACTTTCTAAATCCAGGAAAAGGATGCATCTGTCTCTTCAAATACAAATACAGGAATCTAACTTTAATGGAGGAATGGGGCTTAATCTGTACTACTGTCCACAACATTTTCTACAGGTAGCTTCCAGTCCAGCATGATAACTTAGCAGTTATATTTTAGAATTTGCTTTATGAATTTGTAAGTTTCAGGCATGCCTCTATTAGCACTTCAGTACTTACTTGCTGCTGAAGTTTTATGGACAAGATCTACTGCCTACAGAAAGACAGTGCACAATGTACAGCTGTAATAATTTGCCAGTGGAATTTGACTTTGTACTCCAAACTACAGAAATAACACAACATTATACGACAAAAAAGACATCTTTAAAATATGTGTATTTTTAGATTAGCAGAACTACTTCTTCTCAGTTAACTAGGAATGTAAAAATGCAAATGCACATATGTGCACGTGTGCTTCAACTCAAGACATAGGCCAGACATGAAAAATTTTAGGTCAAACATTTTAGCTGCCAGAATAATCAGTTGAAAACATAAGAGGGCATGACTGGGGAAAAAAGCAACAGTCATACATGTGGCATAAATGCTCGCTTAGAATTTGTAATTTTTCATTCTGTTACAGTTTGCCAGAGTTTGACACCCCCAGTGTGGAATATGGCATCTAATACAAAGCAGATGAAACAAGACACCACGCGTGCTGGGAAAAATAAGCAAGGAGTAAGAACCAAGAATGGAGATATATCCAAAGGAATAAGTGACATGGAAATACTTGTCAAAGAGAGGAAATCGTACTTGCAGAAGGAATACAAGATTCTCACTGAACATATGAACACATACATGGGAAGAGTGGAGCATTTCCTGCAGGAAAATAAATTCCTAGAAAAGGAGGCCCAACGGAATCAGGAAGAGAGCAATGCTTACCTCTCTTACATAACAAAACACAGCCAGAAGTGCCAGAATCTGATAATAACATTAAATGACCAGAATCACACTGACCTGTCTCAAGTCTGGATGCAGAAAGAGAAGCTAATCTCACAGTATACAGAAAAAGAAGAGGAGGTAAGGAGCTCTCTGATGAATATGGAGACAAAGTACTCTCTTATGAACAAGGAGGTTGAAGACCTGCAGACTTTCAAAGATCCATCTGTTCAGCTGGAACAGATGAAAAAGATTAAAGAGCTGGAGAAGGAATTGTTGGTCACAAAGATACAGCATTCAGAGGAAATGCACAAAATCAAGAGCAGATTTCTGCAGGCCAAGGCTGACTGTGAGATGGACTTTCATCAGAAGATCCAGGTTCTCACCAAGAGAGCAGAAGCAGCAGCGATACAATCTCTAATTCAGCATATCAAACAAGTAAAAGCAGAGAATTGGCATCTGCGCCAGGAATTGCTCAGACTCATCCAATACTCAAAAATCCTTAAAGAAACCAAAGTTCAACTGAAAGAGCAGCAGCAGCAGCTTCTTCGGGAGAACCAATACACTCAGGACATGGCACACATGCGCCACTGGTTACACCAGCATGAGGCACACAATGCAAACAGCAAAACCTACAGCTCTCACAGCCTGTTCAGATGTGTCCCATTAACCTAAAAAACCCCACTTCTCCACTCCTCACTCATGCCAATATATCAGTAGACATAGCTGGACTGTCAGCTGTTGCCACTATTAGGTAACAGAGTATGCAGAAGTAAATGTTCTGTGGGTGGATGAAAAGACTGATTTACATAGCTCACACTCAGCATGCAATCCAGACAACAGATCTTAAAAGTAACCTCAGCTTTAACTTTCATGACATCTGTATTAAGACAGTTGAAACTGCAATCCCTTCATGTCCCAAAATAAACAATGACATTTTCTCTTTGAGATCAGACTTTGATGTTTCATTAATTAGTAATTTTCCATGGGCAAATTATATTCTTAGACATAGTGAGCCAATCTCTATATAACTTTTCATTGCAAACTACATCTACTGATACCATATGTCCTGGTTTCGGCAGGGATAGAGTTAATTTCCTTCCTAGTAGCTGGTACAGTGCTGTGTTTTGGATTTAGGATGAGAACAAAGTTGATAATGCACCGATGTTTTAGATGTTGCTAGGTAATGCTTAC